GGGGCGGCGCCCCAACTCCCCAATCGGCCCTGCTCTGAGCCTGACCAGGGGCTGCACCTAGGGATTGGGCATGCCCTCTGCCACCCGGGAGCAGGCCTAAGCCAGCAGGTCGTTATCTCCCGAGGGGTCCCAGACTGTGAGAGGGCACAGGCCGGGCTGGGCGACCCCCTCCCCCCCTCCCCAGTGCACAAATTTTTGTGCACCGGGCCTCTAGTATATAATAAAGAGCTAATATGCTAATGGTCGTGACACCCTCACACCATAACGAGCCATCACCAGAAGGCTGCATGCGCAGCAGGGTGGCGGGGCTGCATGTGTGGTGAGGCGTGCGCAGGTGGGTGGGGGCTTGACACTATGTGCGCGGTGCAGAGGCGGGACCCCGGTTCCGGCCTCCCTCTTTGGGGCAATCCATTGAGGAGCCCTGGATGGATGGGTGGGGCCTACCTCTTTGGGGCGATCAATTGCAGGGCTCCCACACTGTGAGAGGGCACAGGCCAGGCTGGGGGACATCCGCCCCCCCCCCCCCCGCCGCCCGCGCACGAATTTCATGCACCGGCCTCTAGTTAAATATAATTGTTTACTAACATTTTAAAATTTCAACTTTATGAGAGGCATAATTGACATATAAAACTATGTTTAAAGTGTAAATCATGGTGATTTGATGTATATATACATTGGGAAAGGATTCCAAGTTGCTCATAATTTTATACCATTAAATAATGCTGTAGTTAACACCTTGATTCACAAAATCCCAGTTTTGTAATATTGTAGTGTGCACATAGTATATCCAGTTATATAGTCCAAGCTATAGTGTATATATTGTATATATAGTATGGATCCTAATTATGCAAAACTATAATGTACATAAAGTAGTATAGTTTTGTTATACATATGTATATACATATGTATAACAAATTTATTCATATTGGAATTTTTCTTTTTTAAAATTGATTTCAGAGAGAGGAAGGGAGATTGAAAGAACCATCAGTGATGAGAGAGAATCATTGATTAACTGCCTCCTGCACACTCCACACTGGGGATCGAGCCTGAAACCTTTTAATGCATGGGACAACACCCAACCGAGCAACACCAACCAGGGCTAGGATGTGATTTTTTTGTTGTTGTTGTTAATCCTCACTCAAATATATTTTTTCCATTGATTTTTAGAAATAGTGGGAGAGGGAGAGAAAGAGAGAGAGAAACATCATTGTGAGAGAGACACATCAATTGGTTATCTCCCGTACACGCCCCAACCAGGGCCAGGGATTGAGTCTGCAACCAAGACGCATGCCCTTGACCGGAATCGAACCCAGGACTCTTTAGTCTGCACGCCAGCGCTCTATCCACTGAGCCAAACCAGCTAGGGCAGGAGGTGATTTTTTAAAAAAATATTTTTGATTGATTTTTTACAGAGAGGAAGGGAAAGGGATAAAGAGTTAGAAACATCGATGAGAGAGAAACATCAATCAGCTGCCTCCTGCACACCCCCTACTGGGGATGTGCCCGCAACCAAGGTACATGCCCTTGACCGGAATGGAACCTGGGACCTTTCAGTCCGCAGGCTGACGCTCTATCCACTGAGCCAAACCAGTTACGGCAGGAGGTGATTTTTAATGACTGCACTTATCTTTCATTTCAGTCTATTCTCTCCTGTTGACCACTGAGGTTGTTCGTAATTGTATTGTCTTTTATGTGCGACAGTGAAACTCCTGCTCTGTAAGTCTTGGTGACTCATTATATTTCCCAGGGAGCAATCTGGACAGTTGGAACCATCAAGGTTGGGAGGGCTGTTGCTGCCCTCCACAAAGGGCTGTCATTCCACGTTCCTGCTTCGAGGGGTGCGTCTTTCCACCTGGTGTTTGCCAAGGGTCACCCTTTCTTTTTCCATTTTTAAAAATTTGGCCAGAATGGTATGTTGTTTTCACTAATTTGATTATTAGTGGAGCAGAACATTTTTTCATACCTCTGGCTATTAGTATTTCATAAAAGTTGCTTGTTCATGATACATTCATTTCTGTGCTGTAGGAAACTCCGGGACGTTCTACAACAGAGGCTAATAAAATTCTTCGTTGACCAGAGTAAAAAAGATGCTGAGACATATGCCAAGTTTTTTGAAGATTATGGCTTGTTCATGAGAGAGGGCATTGTGACCACTGCTGAACAGGAGGTCAAGGTAAGGGTCCAGGTTTCTGGGCCTTTCTCTCTGCTGCCTTGGGCTGTGGAGGAAGCTGGTGGAGGCCAGAAACCTGAGCTTCCTAGGACATGACACTGGCATATCCGGGCACCCCAGCTATTGCTGCCCGGGAGCCAATAAATGCAGCTCAGGAGATCACAAAGGCATGGCCAGGGCCAGGTACTGGTTCACCAGGCAGGGGAGGCAGGGACATTGTGTCGTCAGGGCATGTTCATCATGTGATGGGTGGAACTTTAACATGGTGCTCCTGGGGCCTCAGTTCAATTCATCGTGCAGCATTACTTATATATGATATGATTCTTCAATAAACATATTTTGGCCTTTTTTTTTTTAAATCTTCACCTGAGAATATGTTTTTATTGATTTGAGAGAGAAAGGAAAGGAGAGGGAGCGAGAGAGAGAAACATCAATATGAGAGAGAAACATTGATCAGTTGCCTCCTGTACACGCCCCGACCAGGGATTAAGCCCGCAGCCTGGGTATGTGCCTGGATCAAACCCCACCACCTTTTGGTGTATGGGGTGATGCTCCAACCAACGGAGTCACACCAGCCAGGACTGGCCATTTTTAAACCATTTTTTATTTTTATTTTAAATTTCAGAGAGAGGAAGAGAAAGGGAGATAAAGATAAGAAACATCAGTGATGAGAGAGAATCATCAATTGGCTGCCTATTGCATGCCCCCTACTGGGAATCGAACCTGCAACCAGGCATGTGCCTTGACTGGGAATCGAACTATGACCTTCTGGCTCATGAGTCGATGCTCAATCACTGAGCCACACCAGCCAGACAGGGCTGGCAATTTTCAGTGTGATATAATTCACATAGTAAAATTCACCCTATTAAAGTGGATAATTTAGTTACACTTGGTACATTCACAAGGTTGTGTAAACATCACTGATATATCATTCCAGAACATTTTCATCCCCAATAAGCAGTCAGTCCCAGTTTTGAGGTTTCATCTTTTGCTCTAGAACAGTAGCAAGGATGGAGGGCTCCCAAGGGGGTTGTTCTTCATTCCCTGGGGGAGGGTGGGGCTGGAGTGCCGCTGGGCAGCCTGAGGTTCCCACTCTGCTTCCTCCCTGAGCCCTCTTCACTTCGGGTGGTCGGCTCCTGCCTGGGCCAGGATGACAGCAGCTGGGTGGTCACTGCATGCCAGTGGCTTTTCTGAGGGCTCGACCTTAGAAATATTATCTCAGTGTATTCGTGTTTGTTAATGGGACCCTAATGTGTACATAAGCACAGGCTTAGTGTCTGAATTAGAGCATGACTCCCAGGTGGGTTTCCACATCCTCGTTTTGACATCTTTTTTCTGCTTTCTGTCCACCTTCCCTCTCCATCACGTCTTTCATCTGGGCTCGGCCCTCTGTGTGCCCTCCCTAGCTCTTCAGTGTCCCGTCCCCAGAACTTGTCTTTGCTGTGCTTGTCGGTGTGTCTGGTGTAGAGAAGGCAGAGTTTATGTCTCAGGTCACGTCCAGGCTGATGGCATCAGGGATCCAGGCCCCCAGCTTGTTGCTGCTCCTCTGTCCTTACCAGGCAGCTCCCACTAGGAATCGAGACGTCTCCAGCAGTCACATTGCATTTCAGCCGACAGGAAGGAGAAGGACTAGTCACCTGGTTGGAGGAAGGCGGGGAAATGTGGGCTTCATACCAATGTCCACATGCCCGCCGTGACTGGGGACGAAGGGAGGACCCTGGGTCCAGGAGCAGTCTCTGCCATGGGGACGGTCTGGCCACTCCTGGGGTGCACACAGCTTGCCCGAAAGCCCCTCTCTATGAGGCCCTGTGCCCCTGAGGTGGGAGGTGCTCTCTGAGGTTCCCTGACTAGCAGCCATCCCCGGGCCAGGCTTCTGTGGGAGCTGCCCCAGCTGCAGAACACAGGGGGCCCACCAGCCGGGGGTGCAGCCAGCAGACTTCTCCCTTTAGCCAGAGGCTTCCCATGTCGGTGCCCAGGTGCTGGAGGCCTTCTGAGTGAGGAACTGGAATGAGCAGTGACCTGCCCTTTGTTTTCAGGAGGATATTGCAAAGCTATTGCGGTATGAGTCCTCGGCACTGCCCGCTGGGCAGCTGACCAGCCTCGTGGACTACGCCAGCCGCATGCAGGCCGGCACCCGCAACATCTACTACCTGTGCACCCCCAACCGGCACCTGGCTGAGCACTCACCCTACTATGAGGCCATGAAGCAGAAAAACATGGAGGTGGGTGAGCAACAGGGCAGGCTGCATCCCTACAGGCTGCTGGGGCCAGATCAGGGGACAAGGTGGAGTCTGAGCACCCAAGGCAGCGGGGTGGGGGGTGTCTCTCTGCTTAGTGGAAAATGGCTGAATGTGCCCATGACCCGGGAAAGCCACACGTCCGGGGGCACAGAGGCCCAGGCTGAAGCCTGCCATCTAGTTTGTGTGTCCCTGTAGGAGGTGACACGGGGATTTCTCTGTAAGTAGAATCACTGTTTCTACTACTAAGACATAGCCAGAGCCTCCCTTGCCACCCTCTGGCAATCCGCCTCATCTGCAAAGGCCCAGGACTCCCCAGCAGCATCCCATGTGGCTGTTCCAGGACTGGGGGCCCAGCCCTTACTCCCATGGCCCTCTCTCTCTCGTGGGCGGAGTCCTCGCCAAGCCTGATGGAGATGTTCTTGGGCCCTCACAGGTTCTCTTCTGCTATGAGCAGTTTGATGAGCTGACCTTGCTTCACCTTCGTGAATTTGACAAGAAGAAGCTGATCTCCGTGGAAACGGACATCGTTGTCGATCACTACAAGGAGGAGAAGTTTGAAGACAAATCTCCAGGTTGGTTCTACCTTTCTCTCTAGGCAGAGGTGGGTGGTGGCCTGGGGTGCAGGTGAGGCTGGGATGGCCCAGGGCTGACACTCTGCTACAGAGCCTTCTGTCCTGCAACGTGAGTTTATAGGGATTTTCTGTTCTCATTTCTACCTGGGGTCATAAACCTGCACAGACAGCAGTTTGGGAACACCTCAATGATTACAGAAAATGTTCCCGTTTAGCTCCCAGTTCTCTCCAGGGCCCCTTCCAAGTTGACTTCCTAAGAGAATCCAAAAATATCTTCTTTAAGCTATAACGAAACCACATGGGCCTCAGGGCAACCAAAAATGTCCTTCTGAGGTTCCATTTTATCCGCTGGATTTTAGATGAAAGCATCTCTGGTGGCTTCTTTGTGCCGACGACCAGGGTGGGGTGGGGCAGTTGGACACCTGGTGTTGGAATGTCAACATTTCAGGCCCCCATGGGAATGAGATGGTAATTACGGAGAACGGCCTCTGAGCTCACTCACGTCTCTCCTCAAGCTGATGACCGCCTGTCAGAAAAGGAGATGGAGGACCTGATGGCCTGGATGAGAAATGCGCTGGGGTCGCGTGTCACCAACGTGAAGGTGAGGTCTTCTGGAGACAGCCACCACTCGGCTCCCATGGCTCCAGTGACCACACAGCTGGCAGCCTGCCGGCTCTGAGTGCTGGCCTGGTGGGAGTTCTCCCAATGGCGACTGGAGCTGTGATATGTGGGAGAGACCAAGCGTGTCACTGCCGCTTCTGCGTTTGAGCCTACATGTGTGCAGCCACGTGTGTCCAGGGGTGTTGCTGGGGCAGGACAGGCAGGCTCAGCTGACTGGTTTCCTCCACTTTATAACGCAGGTGGGAACTAGAAAGTAGAAAGTGAAAGGTGAACAGCCAATGGCCTGGTGGACAAGTAGAAGCCGAGAAGAGGGGTTCCCAGCTGGCCACCCCAAAGCTAGCCTGGTCCAGGCCCCAAAGGAACTGTGGTAGCATAGGACGCAAGGGGTTCCAGTCCAGCCCTTGGGGAGCTTACAGTCCAGCGGGGGTTCTCACTTCAGAGAGCCAGAACCAGGTCCAGCTCAGAGTTGCAAGAGAAAGCCAGCCACCAGAGAACAGGTATCCAGTGCAGGTCACTGGCTCAGGAATAGTCCAGGAGTCGCCCCAAGGGACAGGCGGTGTGCAGGTGGGGATGGCCAAGAGCAGAGGGTGGGCTCAGGTGGCTCTGGGAGGCAGCAGCAGGACTCTGCGGGGGAGGGATGGGCACCGATCGAAAGAGGAGGGGCTCTTGGTAGGGAGCATGAGAAGCAAGGCATGCAGCCGGGATTTCTCTGTGTAACACATTCACTGTGTCCACTCTTCACTATAGGGACTCATTTAAGCTCAGATAACTATGAGGCAGGTAGAATTACCCCCATCCTGTGAAGGGCAGGAGGCAAAGTACATCCCCAGGCCCTATAGCGAGGACGTCATGGAGCTGGGTGCCGTGGGCCCAGCAGGCTTAGAGTCTCCAGTGTGAGTCAGGAGGCCAGAGGCCTGTGGGGTGGACGAAGGGGAAGGCCTGGTCAGGGAGAGGGGCTTGTGACTGCTTGTTGGGAAAAGATGTATTTGATGAAGTCAGGCCAGAGGGGGCCACAGAAAGGGTGTGGGTGGGAGTGAGGTCTGCAGGAAGGAGGCTCCAGCGTTCTGGAAGGACGGGATTGAGGGAAGGAACTGCAGACAGACTGGGGGAGAGGCTGGGCCTGGGGAAATGGAACAGCCGGGCGTAGGTGATCTTAGTTGCTATAGGACTTGGCAGTGGCCCTGTGGAGAGAGGGGCAGAGGACATCAAGCGAGATGGACATTAGGCAGTAATTGACACATTAGATAACGACTTTGGGGGATAGAGGGAGCCCCCAAGTGGGATACTGTTAGGAACGTGGTACGGGGCTGCAGTTCAGGCTCCCTTCTCATTAGTGGATGGTTGGGAGGTCTGAGGGTTCATCCCTGGAGACCTATGTTCTGCCTGGTCATCTGGGGAAGCTTCACCCGTGGCCAAAACTGCCAGCCCAGGGTCCCCCTCACCCCTGGTCCCTGGCCTTGCTTACAGGTGACTCTTCGACTGGACACCCACCCTGCGATGATCACCGTGCTGGAGATGGGGGCCGCCCGGCACTTCCTGCGCATGCAGCAGCTGGCCAAGACCCAGGAGGAGCGCGCTCAGCTTTTGCAGCCCACCCTGGAGATCAACCCCAGGTAAGGCTGCCGGCTCCTTTGCCCTCGATGCCCAGGAACAGCAAGCTTGTATCTGACCTGCCAGCTACTCCTTTAAAATTGTGTTTTTATTCATAACATAGGAAAAATGCATAAAGCTTATAAATACAGTACCTGTGTAATTAAACTATTCAATTTAACTTTAAACTGTACCCATGTAAAGTAAAAAAGCAACAACCTTGCTGGCCCTCGGATGCCGTTAGAATTGTCCCTCTGAGGTAACCATAGTCCTGACTTTTGTGGTAGTTGCTTTGCTTTATGGTCTCTCTGTGCATCCTTAACAAACTGTTTTGCCTGTGATGTGAAGTCTTACTTTCTTCACTCGGTGTGAGAGACTTCGGTCCCTGTGGAGGGAAGCTATGGTTTGTTTTCATAGCTGAGTAATGTTCATGGGCTGAATCTGCCCCAGCACAATTATGTATTCTCTTTTGACCAACATTCGGGTAGTTTCTGTTTGGGGCTGTTGGGAACAGTTGCTCTGAACATTCTTGTCCCTGTCTGACACACGTGTGCATGCGTGAGTTTCTCCGAGTTGTGCACCCAGGTGTGAAACTGCCATATGCTTAGCTAGGCTGGGTGCCAGCTCCCCCCAGCAGAGCGTGAGAACCCACAGGTCTCTACTTTTACTTAAGGCCTTGGCCTTGGCTTTCTCATGACGTGAAAAAAAATAAGACTTTATTCATTAATAGGGTCCCTCGGCCTGGCCTGCGCCCTCTCGCAATCCGGGACTCCTTGGGGGATGTTGGAGGCCCCTTGCATGGATTCCACCCGATCTCCGCAGGCCAGCCCGAGGGACCCCACCCGTGCACAGCACCGGGCCTCTAGTATGTATATAAGATCTTTGGTTAATCTCTCTCCACCCTCTCCCCTTCCCCATCCCCCCTGAGATTCATCAGTCTGTTCCATGTTTCCATGCCTGTGCATTGAGCATCTGCCCCCTGGTGGTCAGTGCGCGTCATAGTTACAAGTCGGACGGTCACTTAGCATATTAGCCTTTTTTAATATATAGATCCTGTTGGGCTCTTTTTTAAAATTTGATTTGTAATTATATTACATACTTTATCAGTTGCAAATCTCTATTCCCACTCTATCTTTTCACCTGCATTAAGATGTCTTTTGATAAGTTCTTAATATAATCAAATTCATAAATTTTGGTTAGGTGCTTTTTTGGTTCTTAAGAAATCTATCACCAAAATCATGAACTTATTTTGTCCCCCAACCCAGCCATCCAAATTGCCTTCTGCATCATAGAGTATCAGGTGTCTGTACACGTGTCTGGTCTGTTGGTCTGTCTTTAGTGGCACTGCACTGTCTTAATTACTCAGCTTTTCCCCGAGCCTTCGCAGCCAGTGAGTGATTGCTTACTCCTTTATTTTCCTTCAAGGGTGCCTTGGCTACTCTAGGTCCTCCTGTGCACATACATCAATTTCAAGAATTAATACCTTTATGGTCAATTCTTTCCGTCCATGTACACAATATATATTTACTAGGTCTTAATGTCTTTTGGTAACTTATGTTTTCTGTAGAGTTCCTACACATTTTTTGTAGTTATTCTTTGATGTGTCACATTTATTGGATATTTTGAAATTTCATTTTCTAACTGTTGAAAACAGGTGTTTTTTAATTGATTTTATATACAACAATAATCTTTCAAGGAAATTACATAAATAGTTCACCAAAAATGTTAAATAAATTTAAACAAAATCCATAGTGAAATTTTCCTCCTACCTTTGCCCCCAATACAGCCACATTACATTTCGCATTTATTTTTTCAAAGATCCTGTGTGTGTGCAGATTCATCTGTGGCTTCCGCTGTTGTACAAGTAGTAACTTGCTATACAGGGGTCCCTACCTTGCTTTTTCTCCTTTTTTAAAAAAAATATGTTTTTATTGGTTTTAGAGAGAGAAACATCCATCGGTTGCCTCCTATATGCACCCTGACCCAGAACTGAACCTGGTACACGGGATGATGCTCAACCAACTGAGCCACTTGCTTTTTAAAAAGTGTTTCTGACCTGACTGGTTTGGCTCAGGGGATAGAGCAGCCGTGGGCAAACTACGGCCCGCGGGCCGGATCCGGCCAGTTTGAAATGAATAAAACTAAAAAAAAAAAAGACCATACCCTTTTATGTAATGATGTTTACTTTGAATTTATATTAGTTCACACAAACACTCCATCCATGCTTTTGTTCCGGCCCTCCGGTCCAGTTTAAGAACCCATTGTGGCCCTCGAGTCAAAAAGTTTGCCCACCCCTGAGATAGAGCGTCGACCTGCGGACTGAAGGGTCCTGGGGTCGATTCTGGTCAAGGGCACATGCCTAGGTGGCAGGCTGGATCCCCAGTAGGGGGCATGCAGGAGGCAGCTGATCAATGATTCTCTCTCATCACTGATGTTTCTCTCTCTCCCTCTCCCTTCCTGTCTGAAATGAATTAAAAAATATATTTTAGAAAGTGATTCTGATTTTAAATAGTACTGTGAGAAAAAAGAAGTGTTAAGTCTCAGAGCACCATCCATGTTTAATTTTTATAGACTCCAATTGTCCTCTATAGAAGTTAAGACAAATTTGTTTCTCCAATGCCTTCAGTTTTAGCAAACTTCTCAATTTTTACCATTCTCATAGTGAAAAATTATGATTTTAATATATGTTTCTTATGAGTAAGGTCAGACATTATATTTATGGTATTTTTTCCTGTGCAGAAAAGAATTGCAGGTTTGTTTGTTTTTTTAATATTTTGATTTCAGAGAGAAAGGGAGAGAGAGATAGAAACATCAATGATGAGAATCATTGATTGGCTGCCTCCTGCACACCCCCTACTGGGGATCGAGCCTGTAACCTGGTCATGTGCCCTTGACTGGAACTGAACCTGGGACCCTTCCGTCCACAGGCTGATGCTCTATCCACTGAGCCAAACCAGCTAGGGCAAGAATTGCAGTTTTTATATTGTCAGAGTTACATCATTATTTCATTTTTGACTTCTGGGTTTGTATTCTGCTTGGAAGGCTTTTCCTTTTGAGATTAGAAAACGTTTTTTCCGTTTTCTTCTAATATTTTACATTTAACATTTGATCCTCCTGGAATTTGGTCTAAAGAATCAGGTGGGAATCCAGCTTTATTGGTTGGCTGGCCCATTACCCTGTCTTTCCCCCTCTTGTGAAACACTATCTTTAATCAGGTACAAATGAAATTCCCATGTGTGTGACTCTTTATACATTGTTGACACTTTTTGCATTTTGTTGTTGCCTTTTCGTTTTCCAGAATTAAACTATTTACTGGCATCTGGGACTTCCTCCTCCAGCTCTCCTGGCTCTTTTCTTCCATATTTACTTTTTTTTTTTTTTTTTTTTTTTTCATATTTACTTTTACTTATGAATTTTACATTAGATTGTTAAGGTATAAAACTCTTAGTATAAAACAATGTGTGTGTGTATTAATCTAGGAAAAATTTTCATCTTTAATTATGGTCTCCAAGCACTGATATATGTCTTTTTATATGTTAAATTCTTTCTTTCCCTTCAGTGTTTAAGTTTGTATTAGTTTTAGTACTTATTGCATTTTCTAATATCAAAACTCAAGTGTTTAAAAAAAAAACTCGTGTTTCTTTGGTTATTGGATATATAACCAATCTCATTATCTGTCAGTGATTATTTACATCTTCCTAAGTTTTTGTATGCCTTATTTTTTTTACACTGGACTGTCCTATTACACTTTTTTGAATGTTCTAGTAACTCCAACGTCTCAGAAGTTAGAGGCCCTTGTGCTGGGGGCACAGCCTGAGCTCACTTCTGGGGGTTTCTGTTGCAGGCACATACTGATCAAGAAGCTCAGCCAGCTGAGAGAGAGTGAGCCTGACCTGGCCCAGCTGCTTGTCGATCAGGTGAGTCTCCTGGAGACTGGCTGAGAGCATGAGAACAGAGGGCTGCACCTTCTTTGAGGTTGGACAGCTGTTGCCTCTAACACGCTGTTTTAAGAAGGAACAGCTCTCTTCCTTCCTTCTCTCCACATTAAAATGTCCCTGAGTTGGAGCTAGGACAGGGCCCCCATCCCATTAACAAGGTCACCACCCTGCCTTTCAGATCTATGAGAACGCCATGATTGCAGCAGGGCTGGTCGATGACCCCCGACCCATGGTGGGCCGCTTGAACAACCTGCTCGTCAAGGCCCTGGAGCGACACTGACGTCTGGGCCCTGTTGGCCAGGGTGCAGCCCAGCAGCTGTGGGAGCCCCACATCTTCCCTGCACTGTCAGGGCTCCAGGGAAGGTGACATGGACTGTGCACCTCTGTCATGGGAGGAGGAGCCGGGAAGGAACGACTGGATGCCACCAATGAGAACACCCCCTTTTGAGCTTTATTTACTTAAATTAAAAGACATTTCTTCATCTAAATGCTGGACTCTGTGTGCATACTAACAGGGTAAGTTACTCTGGTGCCACAACCCCTTGCTTACGATGGATGCAGGTACAGTGAGAAAAAGCCTACTTTCCAGCCCCTTCCTCAAGCTGGGATAGTGGTCAGGGGGACGGTAGGGAGGGGAGAGAGGGGGCGCTGGCCCTGTGCTCAGGGAACTCGCACTCGTTTCCTAAACTCCATCCCCAGAACCTGAAGGTGACAACAGGATCAGCCGTCTTCTTCAGTTCTTTGTGCAGGTCCCCAGGAGCAGCCACAGGCAAGCTAGAGAAGCTAGAGGTGTCCAGCCGGGGCCCCGGGCCTGCTCTTGTCAGGCTCTCTTCAGCGTCACCTCCACCGGGTAGTGGTCACTGATGGCTTGGGCCTGTGGAGAAACATGCAGTGAGCAGGGGTGCCCGTGTGGCAGTCCTCGCTGAGGGCCAGGTGTGCACCCAGATACTGCACTGCCACATCGGCCCGGGAGGAGGCTCCCAGGCTGCGGACAAGTCAATGGAAAAAGCAGCTACAAGTCCCATGGGTCCGGCTCTCACTCCGCCCCTGCGTCCTAGGCCCCCAGGAGAGCTACTTTACAGCCTAGGCCCCCTGTAGGCTGTAAAGAATGGTCACGTACAGTCTGGTTGCTCAGTCCATATGCAGCTTGGAAGTCAAAGGTGCCAGCTGAGTCGGGAACAATGGCATTTTGGAGCAGAGTTCCAGCGACCACGATCCTATAGTGCCAGACACAAAAAAGTCCCCTTCAGCCCACTGTCCAGCTCTGTGGACTTAAACCTCAGATCCCAGCAGGAGCCAGCTCCCGTCTGGCCTCTCTGGCCCCTGGATGGCACTGCTCAGGGAAGGCAGGACCAGCCCAGACTCAGGTCTGGGTGTGCCCAACTGGCACCGCTGGCTGACCGGTCTACCTGAGACTGCCCAGAGAAGACTAGCATCGTGTTACCCTACATGTGCTTTTCCTAAAGTGAAGGAATGCTGCTTTTTATTCCACTTCGTAAGTGGTCCAAAGCTCAGGAGGGTGAATGTCTCCTCAAAGGTCTTGGAAACCATTCCTGAAGCTGGGCTGAGATGGAAAGTGAGGCTGCTTGTGCGAGTGCCCCTTCCCTACCTGGGCCTGCAGAACCCACGGGGGCGCAGATTCTGCTCACCTGTCGTAGGCGCAGTGCGTGGACGTAACCGTAGTGTCAGCGGTGTCAGGAATCAGCCACTGGAAGGTGGGGATTGTGCGCAGGCGGATGGATGACCAACGCGAAGGGGTCACGTAGCTGCAGCCAGCGTTGAAGTCACCCATCAACATAATGTCCTACCAGGAGACACCAGCTGATTGGCCCAGGGACAGAAACGGGCCCTTAAGAGCTCAATCCAATGTGGGGCCTCACCTCCATGTCCCACTTCTGCCGGACGTCCAGGTAGACTTCGTATAGAGAGTCGATTTCAGCCACTGCATCCAGTGGGGCCGCATGCAGGGGGACGATGGCAAACTCCTTGACCTCTGTGGAGAAGATGGTCGTGCTACGCAAGGAAGTGGGGAGCGGAGTTGGGAGGCAGTCCTGGTCCGAGGGGGCATTGGCCTGGCTGTCATGTGTTTAGGGCTGGGATGGGGGACACATGAAACAGTCCTGGGAGAGAAGTAGTAGGGGGGTTGGGGGGAGGATGGACGTTTCCCTAAGTAACTTAAACATAAGACCAAGCACTAGGAATGAGGACGGCACCAAGCTCCCCAAAGAGGTGCATGGTGGGGGCATGATGTGCTGTGGCTCCTCAAGGTGCCTAGGAAGGGCCAGGCAGGGCCCCCGGGGTCAGGCAGGGCAGAGGAGCCTCTGTGGCGGCAGCACTCACGGGTGAATGGGGAGGAGAACTTGACAACAGCTGGCTCTCGGCTGAAGGTATCATTTCCACAGGGCTCGCAGCCGTCGTCATACAGGTAGCTGTCCAGCACCGACACCTGGTCCGGCCTGCGGAAGGCCAGGCCAGGGGGTGCTTAACCTGGGGCTGGGGCACATCTTTGCCAAACCGACCTGTTGCTGCGGGCAGGGGCCTGGTCTAAGGTGGGACATCACACAGATCCACCAGCCCAGAGCTCCTTTTGCCCAGATGGTGAGGCCCAACTCGGTCCCTGCTCTGTGGCCTCCAGTTCTTGCCCCCACACCGGGAGGAGAGGCCCATGGGCTTTCTAGACACCCGCCATCCCCACTTCTGCCAGCGACCTTAGAGGAGGCGGCCTCATCTCTCGGCACCTGGGTTTTACCTGAACACAAAGAGGTAGCGCTCCTTATAGCTGCTGCGACCCAGTGGCTCGCTGACTATGTAGTGATAGGTGTTGGGGTCATCCCTAGATTGAGGAGAAACAGGTACCCGTCGGGGACATCCTGCCACCGACAGCAGGGCTCCGCCCACGTCAGTGTCCCTGGGACCGAAGTGGCATCAAGCCCCGAAGGGACGATCACTGTCCCGTGTGCTTCCCAGTACCCTGCCCCCTCACGCACTGATTGAGTCTGTCCAGCAGCTTCCCCACGGCCGTCAGGTGGCTGTCTCTGACCTCCTGGACCACGACAATGTCATAGCGACTCAGGATCTAGGGACAGGGCCACAGTGGTGCTGAGTGCGGACAGGCTAGACGGAGACTGGGGTGTCTAGGCCCTGCCCACTCCAAGTCCCCGCAGGAGCCAAGCTGCTATTCCCAGGTTCTGTCACATCAGTTGGCCTGATGACGTCAGCCACGGCAGTGATAAGGGCCCTATCCTCACAGCTGACTGGGCTGAGAGCAGAGGCCTAACAGTCTGATTGCCCTCAGGACTGACCGCTGGCCTGGACCTACCTGCACGATGTAGTTGGAGAGGGTGGCATTGGACATCTTGGTCTCCCCGAAAGTCTGGATGTTGAAGGCTGCTATTCTCAGGGGCAGGACCACATGCAGCACACCAGTCAGGGTGAGCAGCACCCCCATCAGCCTGGCACCCTTCATTCTGGAGGAGGAGGGACATTGGCATGTGGGTCTGGATTAGAGGAGACGGTGCCCCATCTTCCCTCAGTCCAGCCACGCGGAGCTGGTGGAGCCCACGGCTGAGTAACTGACTTCACGGGCAGTACCGAGCAGCCAGGTGCGCCTCAGCCCCCACCAGCATGCAGAGCCAGGCACCAGTGCCAAGGAGAGGACCTGGGTCTTCTCACCACTCCACTCACCAGAAGACAAGCCCTGTAAGGGTCACCAGCCTGAGGACGCGCTCAGGCTACTGGTGGGACACTGGCTCACTGCCCTCCCTGCTCCAGGCACCGCCTGGCCAGGGTTCTTCCCAGCTTGGCCGGTCACGCAGAGGGACCCCACCAGGCCTCTGGGCGTAGTGCCTACCCGCCAACGGCCACAAGTCACACAGCTCTTGAGGCACTAGACACACTCACCCGAAATGCAACTTCTACCAAAGGTGGTGGGAATTCTGCCAAGAACCAGGAATGGATGTTCTTTGGTATCAATTTTCTCCTTTTGTTCCTTTAAGAAAATAAAAACAATTTACAAAGGGAAGTATATTAAGAAACACAGCTGAGAGGCCCATGCAGAGCTGCTACAGCTCTGAATCCCCACAGGGAATGCTCGTCGCGCCTGGGGTTTTAAAGGTTCAGGCGGCTGTGCCCTTTCCCGGGGCATCACCTGACTGCAGAACAGTGGCGCTGCCTGTGTGGCTTTCCCACGTAGGTGAGCGGTTGGCATGTGTTTATTTTAACAGGCACAGGTTCTTGGTGCTGTAAAAAGAGCACCTGATGGTATTTGTACTTAGTTTTAAAAAATCTAATACTTGGGCCAAAGGCTAGTGTGTCCTTCACACATGCTTCTCTCCCAGGGATGGGGAACAGGTGTGCTCTGGAGGGCGGGGTCCTGGCTGCACTCCAGTATGCAGATTTGAGATGACCTTGGAGCCAGTGGTCAAAGCCAGACATCCCACATTGCATGTTGCAAATAGAGCCCATGGAGCCATCTGGCCCTGGAGCACACTAGGTCTCTTACCAATCCCAGCCCCGCTTCTTCATCCATTGGCAACTTGGCTAAAAGCTGGGGCTCTATGGCAAGCATGTCAAACTCCTTCGGCCGCATGTTTGACATGTTTGCTCTATGGGGTACATGTGTGATGCAGCCTTGGGAGCTTCAAGGCTTGGGTGCCAGGAAGGGGCGGGGACTGTGGGGCCCACCTCGGTTGCCAGCAAGGCAGTAGAGCGCCTTCTTGAGGGAGGAAGAGAGCCCGTGTGTTCCAGGCACAGGTGTCTCGAGTCACAAGGACACTGGTAGGCAGTATCTGTGAGGGTTCACCACAGGCCTTGGGTCCAGTCGTTTCTTTCTAGAATCTTTGACTTTCCCATTTGTATTCACAAACTTGGTGGCTTAAAAATAAACTTATTCTCTAACAGTTTTAGAGGGCAGAGTCCAAAATCCATCTCATTGAACTGAAATCCAGGTGTTAACAGGGCCGCACGCCAGAGGCTCTGTGAGAGGGTCCTTTCTGCCTCTTCAGCTTCTGGGACGCCTGGTGTTCCTGGCGTGTGGCCACAGCGCTCCAACCTCTGCCTCCATCTTCATACTGCCCCCTCTCATAAAGATACGGGTGACTGAATTTAAGGTCCTCCCAGATAATCCAGGGCCATCTCCCCATCTCAAGATCCTTAATCACATCTGCAAAGTCCTGTTTTGCCATGTGAGCTTCAGCTTCCAGGTTTCAGGTTCACAGGTTCCAGGAATCGGGACATGGATACCTTTTGGGGTGCCATGTGGAGAGGGAAGGGTCCCTCCCTGGGATGGAAGGGTCTTGCTGCTCTGTTGCCATGGTGGGTGTAGGGCTGCACGGGGCTAGAGTTTGGGAGCAAGGGGGGCTTGAGAGCAGCAGTCGATAGGGACCAAGGTTTAAGTCACAAAAGTGCCACAGATCAGGCCAGCTGGTCATGAAGCGGGGGTCACAGCGGGGATTGAAAACAGTTCATTCGGTAAATCAACTTCACAAGA